TCAGGTTGATTGTACGTGCTAAAAAGGTGAATTCTGTGTTATTTTTATGTGAAAATTCCTGTGTATAAGCGAAATAATGATAGTTTTGTATAAGAAATTTAAAAGTGTTTTAATAGTGAAATGAATAGGAAAAATGTAAATTAAACTGTTGTATTGGTTAACTTATGTATAATTTCAAGTGTAAAACATTGTTTTAACTTTCTATGTTAAATATTTAAGAAATTTCAACTTCGAACTTGTGAGTAAAATAGGCATATTTTGTTAAATAAATAAAAGGTTTTTTTGTGATATGAAAATGTAATGTATATCGTAGTGTAGATATTGTTTTGTGCTATCTATACAGGTAAATTATGTTGATGTATGACTTATGCAAATAAAGTAATTAAGTAAAACGTGAGAGAGTAATAGAACAAATTCATGTAATTGAGTTACGCAAGCGCGCGAATGGCGCGGCTCACTTTCGCCTATAGCTCTGGGGTGGCTCAGTAAACGAGTTTTCTTGCAATTCGTTCGGGAATCCTTCGGGAAAGTTCGGGAAAAGTGCAAGACCAGCAGTCAATAAGAAGAAGAAAGAAAAAGTGTAGGGAAGTGATAGGGAAAAGTAATTACTCTCTCACGGAACGGTTTGAAGATAATTGCTGTTTTATTCCCAAGGAATTCATTCCTCAAAATTATACACAGTCCACATCGAAGAATTAAGGCGTTGGGACCGGGACGACTTCGGAAGACCCGTATTCCCCGTCTGAACCTATTTGCTGAAAAGGAAGAAGTTATCGCCCTTGTGTGTGTTACTCCGTTGCGGAGATCACATACGTTGTTCCCGAACCCATCGTAGGCGTTATAGGAGGCCAGATCGAGAGAAGCCTCGATTCCTCCCTTCTGTTTCTTAATCCCCTCGTTGGTTCCTTTTCAATTGGACCTTCGGAGCCGGATTAAGAAGACCACCGAAGCCGCTGGTTCCTTTTCAATATTGTTAATCTTTATATGATAATCCTTTTCTTCTATTTCCACAGTATTTTTTCCTCCAGTTTGGGCAATCGTCGTTTCATGTTCTTCATTTCTCGAATTACTATTCCCCATTTTGTTTTTTGGCATGAACACGCACATACACAGTCACAAAGTTAATAGTTATATTCTTATTCATTATTATTACGTAGTTGCATTCACTGCCGAGGCACACAGGTATGTGTAAAGTCCGCACTTTTAGCCTGCATCCGGACACGCGCGCTTGGCATGGGTCGCCATGAATTATGTTATTTATAATGGGATGAAAGATCAACACGTTTGTTCAACTCGAGTGTTTAATACTGGCTTACTTTCTAATACATCGAATATCACCTACAAGTACATAGGTTACTTCAACATATACAAAGTCCTTAAAATCCGGTAAGTCTCGGTGTATCAATTAATCGCGTCTGCTTATTTTTGAAATTAGTTGTCAAATTCATCAACACATTTTTGCACATTTCATGTTTTGATAAAACAACTTCAGAGTTTACAGCGTTTAATGCCCTTTTCAGTCCATATCCATGCACTTTCGAATCTAAGGTATCGAACAAGTCGTTTAAGACTAACAACATATTAGCTGTTCCATCTATTCCTTGAAACTGGGATATCATCAAGGTATTTTTACAAAAACAATTGAGTGGCAAGCTTCACTTTCACAATATTCTTTTTAAAAAACAAGTGTTCAGATCGTAGCTTGTTAGCTGCGTGAAACTTCTCGTCTTCTTGCAACTGGTGTAACATCTCAATATGACTCCATTTTATATCTTTGCCTTCAGCATCCTTGAATTCCCTGTAATGTTCAAAACTATTTCTAACTAATTTTATCATGTGAGCTGGGTCGAAAAAGATAGCTATTTCATTATTTTGTACTTTAAAAACAGTTTTCAAATTATTAGGATTTAAATCGCAGCAGAGTTTCTTGGCCATTGCTATATTGGCTGGACAGTCATCAAAGGTCACAGCTTTGACTACTAATCCTGCTTCAAGGCATAACTCAATACCTTGAGTTAGTAAAATTTTTTTTGGTCAGCTGTCACTTTATTAATAAAAATACCCAATAGGTACTTTCCATTTACCGTGTAATGCAACTACTAGAAAAACTAATGCGTCGGTACATTCTTCTCTACAGCCAGAATCTACACTTCCACCGTAATCTACATAGCCTTATGTCTTTTCTACTTTCCTCTCAATTTTCATTTCATCAAAAACAATACAGCAATAAATAGGCTGATTTGTCTGTGTTGCCTGAAATTTAAGAGCATCAAAAGCTTCTTTTGTGAAACCTGGACGATCATCTATAGATCTGTACAATTTTCCTAGTGTCTTTACAGAGGGTAAACAAGTATTAAATGTCTTGCGTACATAATTATAAGCCTTTGTTGAGTAAAAATTTAAGGTAAGTGCAAAAGCTCTCACCTGCGGTGAATATTTTTTTCTTACAATTTTTCCTGATTTTCCTTTCAATATTTGACGACGAATAATTTCACTATATTTAACCTAAAGAAAGAACTTAATGCGTCATTGCTTTCGGCTGTTAATAAATGTTTGTGCTCTAATTCTATCAATAATACCTTCCAAGAAACTATTTGTCTTTTTAGTCTTCTGTTGGAATCGCTTAACTTTTTAATTTTTTTGTCTTTTTTGTTCACTACGTTGGATAATTCGATGATTCTTCTACAAAGATGTTTTTTCACTGGCGGTATCAAATGCAGATAGCGTATCAGGAGTAGGATAAAATTTTCTTTTTTGTTTTGTAGGCGTTTCTAAACAATGGCTCTGATTTTTAGGTGTTAGCGGGTTATTAGCAGCGTCTTTCAGCGGTGTATCACCAATCTAAAATACGTATTCGTTTATTTTAGAATATTACCAATAATTATTTAGAAACTTATACTTAATGCATTTTTTTAATTAATTTATACAAGTTATAAACATATCATTAATTCTTATTATAATCATACCGCTTTTTTAAACGATTTGCCGGCCACAGGAATTTCCGTATTTTTAGCTGCAATATCTGCACCTGCACTTATGGTAGGGACGGGTGCCTAAAAGTAGTCTTATTAATAACTAAACCATACGGTACATCTTTCAAATTTAGATGTACTTAATAATAGTAAGATATTGCTGAAGTTCATGTAACACTAGAATAGCAAGTCAAAACAATAATCACATTATAACTTTCACTTATTTTATGATTTATAAATCCGTTAAAAATAGTTTAAATTTCGACGTGTATCATTCGCCTAAATATTAGAATATCACGTTACAATCAACCACTTAATGCTATTACTTATTGTGTAATTTACATTGGTACTAAAATAAAATGAAAAAGCATACTAAAACTGGCAAGTATAGAGATCCGGAATCCGGATGTAGCGGAATCCAACAGCCTTTTACGGTTTTTAATACGATGAAGATTGTCTTCCGTGAAGTGTCTTGAGCATATCACACTATATTTGGTGGGAAACCATTGATCCCCCCCGACAAGTTGCGTCGATCCACATCTTTTTCCTTTCGGGGCATTTAGGAAACACTATAACATATAGGTACCACATACATTATACGTCACTATTTTTATACAATAATGACTACAAAAAAAAATGTGAACGATGACCAAATATCGACTTATAAATCACAACACTATCGTTACACGTGCCGTCGTTAGACAAAGACAACTATTTTAATTTACATAATGAGTGAAAGAGACATTTCAAAAAGACATCAACGGGTGCTTAATTGTTATCACTTTGCACCATTATATTACCAGTATAAGTTGAACTCCGGTGCAGTTGAAATAAGTTAACGTAAAAGAATAGAATTTACTTACCGATGAAATGTTATGCCATCTTTTTGATAACTGGATGTCTTAGCTGACTTGCCACACCATTTCACTGCACAGGAAGCCATTTGTAATGTATTTTTGATACAAAACTATTTTTAAATTGTCAAAAACTTGGAGGCGTCTACGGGTCACTAACTTGGTCGACAATGATATCGTGATTCATAGCGTCACTTCATATGCTAGCTACAGCAAGCATGTGTTGCGCGCGTTTGTGGCCCTGTATGCGGAACCTATTAGGAGGTAATCTGTGCATTAGGCGCATTACTCGTCCATTGGGTTGGATGGTCTAAGTACGTAGCTTGTATGTAGTACTAACTTTTTATTTTTGATAAATCTGATTAACACGAAACTTGACCGAATAAAAATTCAGAGGTTTTTTATCCCCCTACATAGGGAAACTAGGGTTTTTTTGAAAAATCTAGGGGGACAGGTGAAAAAAATCTGGCAACACTGCTGTGTTAGCTAATTTTAAATTTGCAAAAAAATTACTATGTTTACGCGCGAAGAATGAAGAGTTTTACGTGATATATTGTAAATATTTTTAGTAGTTTTGTATTATACCGATAAAACCGATTTAATTTGTAAATATCTTGTTCTAATATTGTAGATAGTGTAAATAATGAAAACGTGTATATAAAATGACTTCTAAATACGTCCGTAACATTTATCGGCCAATCCTAAGCCTGGAAAAAGTATGAAGGGAAGTTCGCTTTATTATTTTGTAAACAAACATATTTTTTTTAAAAACTGTTTTTTTAGACTGTTTCTCATTTCAAAAAAAAAAAACGGTTTCGTTTCGTTTTATAAAAAACCTGGGACGACCCAGTACTACCGCTCGCCGACTACGCGCACGCGTCGGCCTGCACAACTTTTGGAGTCCAGTCAGTGGTACCAACTTAGGGTAATTTACCCTATATTTAAAGTAAAAGTAATCCAGCAGGGTAATTTCTAGGGTATGAATTTTCCTAGGGTATTTTTTGGGGTAAGTCAATAACAGTAAAATAATTACTTTGAATGATATTGTTTTCGAACGCGCCCATTACAGATTCCGTGTCGTGAACGCACCGATTGCTTTTGTGTCTCTCTCTAGTCTCCCTTATTTATTGTGTTGCTTGCTCTTTCTTTTCGAGAGTGTGTGTAGTTGTGAAAAATGGCGTCGTCTAGTGGTGGCGTTACACGTTCAGGTGTGAAAAAGTATGCACAAAAATACTGTAAAGAATGGGAGTATGATCCAAATTTAAAAGGTAAGTCCAGTTTTCTTAAAGCTATAATATGTATTAATCTAATTGAGCTATGAGACTGAGGTTACACAAGCATTATTGTAACTGTTTTTCTTTGATTGTATTGTACTTTGTTTGGCAGTTTGGCTGTTAATATTATTTGAATATCTTTGGTAATGTATAAGAGTTGCCTGTTGCAAAATTTACCCACATCTGTAGGTATATTTTACGGGTGGTGGTGGTGATGGATAAAGATAAATGCATATTGTGGTGATGATGAAGATGAATGGTGGGGGCAATGCGGTGGTGTTAACGCTTTGCTTTTTTATTTTTAGATTGGATTTGTCCTGACCCCACTGGTGAAAACTATGCAAGGTGCAAATATTGTAGTCACATTAGTACCCCACAAGAAAGAACTTAACTATCACGCAAAGAGTAAAAAACACATAAAAGCTGTGTCATTAGATAAAGCGGCGAAGTCCTGTCAGCAATTACCTTTTGTAAAACAGTTTCGAAGAATAACAAAACTGCGGAATTAAAAATAGCTGCTTATATCGCTGAAAATAGTGCTATTCAAAATGTAGATCATTTAGGTGAAATCCTGCCATGTCTTGATCTGAAATCAGAAGTTCTGGGGACGTTAAAAATACACAGAACTAAATGCAGCATGCTAATAAAAAACGTTCTTGGTCCAGTAATGATGCAAGAAATGATATCAGATGTTGGTGATGCTGCATATTCACTTATTGTAGATGAAACTACGGACATATCAACAGATAAAATTCTGTGCATAATGATACGGTATTTTTCAAAAATTAAGCAGGATATCATTACAACATTTTACAGATACATAAAAATATCTAAATGCGATGCAACAACCATCTATGAAACTATAAAAAATACTTTACTAGCTCCTTACGTCTTAAAATGCTAGTAGGAATTGGGCTAGACGGTACTAATGTAATGATTGGTGAGCACCACTCTGTCGCAGCACTGTTCAAAAGAGACTTACCGGATATTATCATCGTTAACTGTACCTGTCATTCGTTGCATTTATGTGCAGAGAAAGCTTCGGAAAGTATGCGCCGTCTACTGGAATTTTTGATTCGGGAATGCCACAATTGGTTCTCGTATAGTTCAAAACGCCTTGAAGCCTACAGGGACTTATACGAAATTATGAACGAAAGTCGAGCTCCTAAAAAAATACCAGGATTTTGCGGAACACGCTGGTTAGCACGTTCTCATGCTATACGTACGTTACTCGAGCAATGGGAGGAATTAAAGCTTCTTTTCATATGGCTAAGACTGAAGACAAATGTTTCATGGCGGAAAAATTGTATGACATCATGAAATGCAGAGCTTACCATGCATATTTCAGGTTCTTAGATGTTCATCTACGACAAGTTACTAAAGTAAATTTCCTTTTTCATAGTGATAATGTCGATCCAGCGAAACTGTTAGAAGACTTGTTTTTGCTATTCAAAAATATCCTACAAATTATTGTCATACCTCGCAAAACCTTTGTTGTTATTTTGTGTTCCGAATTACAGAAAAGTTTGCCAAAACAGATCACATTCCTTAAAGCCATGGTGAAGTTGTCTCCAGAAATAGCCACTTTTCAAGTGAAACCTACATTAGTTGACATACTACAAACAAAATGTTCAAAGGGCTGAATAATTTGCAAAACAAATCTTGGAAAAATACGACGCGTTATACTGATTTTTGGGCTGAGGTTCAGGGGGACACAGACGCTGGGGGTAATAAAAGATTCCCTAATGTCTCTAAATTAGCATTGTCTCTTTTGTCGGCGCCTATATCTAATGCAGCCGTAGAAAGGGCCTTTTCTCTATACTCAGTCGTCAAAACAAAGCTTAGGAATAAGCTATCCCTGCCTATATGATACAGAGTATAATGACTGTAAGATACAATTGAAACATATTTCACAAATCTTGTGTTAACTTCACTCCAAAAACAATGTTGGACAAATTTAATAATAGCATGTATGACAAAAAAGATAGTGATGCAGAGGATACTTTTATTATGTGCCAATAATATAATAATATGAATAAATAATGTAGTAGTTTTATTTGTAAAGAAGGAAAAGACAAGGATATTTTTTAGGGTATTTTTTTAAATAATACAGATTCTAGGGTAAAAAGAGACCAAGCCTAGGGTAAAGCAAAACCTTGACCTAGCAACACTGAGTCCAGTCCTCGTTAGTTCAACGCATTGGAGAATAGTGTTCTGTGGTTCAACGCAGCTACGAGAAGATATAGACGAGTCATAGGAGTAAGTGTTCTGTGGACGAGTCTCACGCCGGCAAATGGAGTGCACATAATAGTTGTATTTTGATTAATCTTTATTGGTCATAATGTATGAATTGTAATTGGCTAGGCAAATAAAAATTGTTACTATTGGTAAACTAACGACGTAGCCGGACATATAAATATAGACAGGGTTGACCAAAAAATATATTCCATACTCCATTCGTCTGCACATCAAAAAGTAGTTATAACAGTGGTAAAGCCACGCGGCAGCTTTGCTGTTGCACGTATGGGCCGGCTCAAACCGGGGTGGTACCACGACTTCACAGAATACCGGCGTGAAGTGGAAGCTCTGCTTCCGCGTTTCGTCTGGCGAGTGCAGGTGGCCGGAGGCCCAAATCCCCCCCCCCCCATCAACATGGTAGCGGAATTAAATGATGATAGACTACCCCAGGAGGGTACCAGCACCCCTGGAGAATCCCTCGCTGAGTATCCACGACCATGTTTCTCCACTTCTGAGCGTGGGTGCTCAGGCTGCCCCGCGTATTCTGGGGGTGGGGGGCAAAATTCCGCTCAAGACTACACCTGCTCGGGGCAAACGGAGCAACAAGACCAAGGCGACCCCTGCCACGCTGTCCGTGAATTTCTGCAACATCAGGGGACTTCACTCTAACCTAAACGCCGTCCACTACCATCTCGAGAGGGCGAGGCCGGCTCTGCTCTTTGTGACCGAGACGCAGGTGTCCTCTCCGGCTGATGTCTCGTATCTCTCTACCCGGGGTACAAACTGGAACACTCCTTTGTGCCTCGGGCTGGAGTTTGCGTTTACGTCAAAGAGGACATCTGTTCTCGACGCCTCGGCAGACTTGAAGGCTCGGACCTGTCCATCCTGTGGCTACGTGTAGACAGCGACGACCATCCACGCGTCTACGGGTGCCTCTATAGGTCCCATAGCGGTGGTAATGCCGAAACAGACCGACTCTTCGACCACGTCCAAATGGCTACAGATCCGTTGCTACAGCAGATCCCCTCCGCAGAGATCGTGATCCTCGGCGACTTTAACACCCATCACGCCGAATGGCTTGGTTCACGTTTAACCGATCATGCGGGGAGATCTGTTCATGATTTTGCCTTGGCATATGGTCTGACACAACTGGTTACTTCGCCTACGCGGATTCCAGATGCGGAGGATCATTCACCTTCCCTGTTGGACCTTCTGCTGACCTCTCACCCGGACGGATATCAGATTTCCGTCGAAGCCCCTTTAGGCTCCTCGGACCATTGTCTTGTCCGGAGTGCCACTGTGTGGTGCCACTCACGCTGAAATCGCAGTCGCATTCTGCAGGCTGCCGCCGTTTGGCACTATAGGTCAGCCGATTGCGATGGGATGCGGTCTTTCTTTGCATCCTACCCTTGGGGGCGGGTTTGCTTCTCGCCGGATGATCCTAACGTTGTTGCGGATTCTGTCGCTGATGTGGTACTTCAGGGTATGGAACTTTTTATTCCTTCCTCTGTGGTGCCCATTGGAGGCAAATCTCAGCCGTGGTTTGGTCGCTCCTGTAAAATAGCATCATGCTATAAGCAGGAGTGCTACCGAGCCTGGGCTGACGCATCAGCGTCCCGGGATGTAAACACCAGCGCTCTAAAAACTAAGTACAATTCCGCCTCTAGGTCCTTCAAAAGAGTCATTGCCAAGGCAAAGTCAGAGCACATAGGCAGAATTGGCGAGAAACTAGTTCGCCTTCGTTCTGGAACTCGTGCATTCTGGTCTCTCGCCAAGGCTGTCCAGGGGAATCTCTGTCAGCCATCTCTTCCATCTCTGCACAGGGAGGGCGACTCACTGCCCCATACCGCACAGGAGAAACCACTCTTTCTTTGCGTCCAACTCGACTCTTGATGACGGGGGGAGAACGCCGCCGAACATCCCGCGGTGTGAGTGCTCCATGCCGGAAGTGCAGTTCACATAGCGCTCGGTTCGCAAAGCACTCCTCTCCCTGGACACCCACAAGTCGAGTGGGCCTGACGGAATCCCCCCAATTGTGCTGAGGACGTGTGCTCCAGAGTTGGCACCGGTTTTATCGCCTTTTCCGGTGCTCCTACTCTCTAGGCGTAGTCCCAAAATCATGGAAGAAGGCTTTTGTCCACCCGATCCCTAAAAAAGGCGACCGCTCAGACCCATCCAACTACCGGCCTATCACCAATTTGTAAAATGGAGTCCATTGTAAACTGCCAGTATGAGGTAGCCGCTGATTAGTGACCGCCAATACGGTTTTGGCCGTGGTCGGTCAGCTGGTGATCTTCTGGTCTATCTAACTCACAGATGGGCGGAAGCAGCGGAGTCCAAGCGGGAGGCATTGGCCGTTAGTTTGGACATTGCGAAGACCTTCGATCGGGTTTGGCACAAAGCGCTTCTTTCGAAGCTCCCTTCCTATGGGCTTCCCGAGAAATTGTGCGATTGGATCACCAGCTTTCTTGCAGATCGGAGCATCAAGGTCGTTGTAGACGGTGCAAGCTCCGATTGCAAGCCTATTAATGCTGGTGTTCCACAAGGCTGCGTGCTATCGCCAACGCTGTTTCTTCTGCATATCAATATGTTGCAAACCCGTAACATTCATTGCTATGCAGATGACAGCACTGGTGATGCTCTTTACACCGGCCGAGCCAATATTTCTCGGGAAAACGTCTCCGAGTGCCGGGACAAACTTTGTTTGAAGTCGAGTCCTTGCTGAACAGTCTCGGATTGGGGGCGACTAAATCTAGTCCAATTTAACCCCCAGAAGACACAAGTTTGCGCGTTAACCGCTAAAAAGAACCCCTTTGTCGTATCTCCTCAGTTTCAAGGCACTCCCCTTGTTGCCTCAGCCAGTATCGGAATCCTCGGCGTTGACATATCGAGTGACGTGCAGTTTCGTGGTCACTTGGAAGAGAAGGCCAAATCGGCCTCTAAAAAGCTTTGCGTGTTCAGCAGAGCGGGACAGTATTTCATGCCGGCACACCTCCTGCAACTTTACAAGGCGCAGGTTCGGCCGCACATGGAATACTGTTCCCATCTCTGGGCTGGGGTTCCCCAGTACCAGCTCCTTCCACTTGACCGCATCCAGCGCAGAGCGGCTCGAATCGTCGACGACCGAGTGCTTTCCGATCGGCTCGATTCACTGGCACTGCGAAGAGATGTTGCATCTCTTTGCATTTTATTTCGCATATACCATGGAGTGCTCTGAGGAATTGTTCATATTAATCCCAGCCGCAAAATTTCGTGAACGCACTACGCGGCAAACGTCCCGATACCATCCACACCATCTAGATGCTTGGCGGTCCACCACAGTATGTTTCAATAGGAGTTTTCTTCCGCGTACAACCTCTCTGTGGAATAGTTTACCACCGGCGATTTTCCGGACCTATACGACCTGGAGACCTTCAAGAAAAGAGCTTACTCCTTTCTAAAGGGCCGGCAACGCACCTGCAATTCCCCTGGTGTTGCGGTTGATATTGGGCGGCGGTAGTCACTTAAAATCAGGTGAGCCGCATGCTCGTTTGCCCCCTCTTCTATTAAAAAAAAAGTAATTTCTTTTCTCCGCCACTAAACCACTCGGAGTGTTAATAGTGGACCTCATATCACCACTATTACAAGTTAATTATTGTCTAGTTCATTTGTTCAGTCCAATATTTTTTGCTCATTGATTGAAGGGATAGTAATTTTGACTAAGAAATACCTTTCAAAATCTGTGTCTCTGATGAACTGATAATAAAGAGTTGAGCCGGCTTTTGAAAATGACCATCCGATAATCGATTATGGGTTCATTGACATCGATGTTTGACATGTGGCAACATCAATGTTTTAATTTTTAACATCGAACATACCTGAAGTAATTTAAAACTTGATAATGGATTACGAAGGGCCTGATTCGAATGTGTTAGCTTATTTTAACGATTCCAACTTAGATTATTGATAAGACCTATGAATAATCCAAGGATTCCAACGATGTAAGTTTTGTGTTTGACTCTCATACGAGACTGGAGAAATTATGAATTTCATTACACGTGCTGCGATAGCACGAGGTCCCCAAAGGTGGCGCAGCGGATGCGCTTGGTATATACAGTATTTCTTTTTTGCTATAAAAACCTACCTTTCTAACAAAAAAAAATAATAAATTTTCCTTTCATAACTTCCTACTAAAATCCTCCGTCAACTTGAATGATATATCTGAAACCTTTTTTTGGTTATTTAGCATTCATCCACGCAACAATTTTTCACGCAGGTAGCAAGAGTGAGAGGCCTGGCATTATGTATTGTATTAAAATAAAATAAACTTCATTTTAAATGAACGCAAACTATTTCTTTTTAAATTCAAATTTGAATTTCCCATGGGCAAGTTAAAATAAAACAAAGTAATGCAAGAGGAAAAATA